AAGTTTAGCACATTTTTTTGGCCTTATAAAGAGCAAAGAAGAAAAAAGACTTGCAGAATTGTTTTTTCCCTACAAACCCTTCAAGAGATTATAAAATAATCATCATTTATTAAAACTAAGGTTGAGATTATAGTAAGATTATATTTAATAAAAAATAAATACACTTAAATCTTTTTTTAGAAGAAAATTAGAGCAGTAAGGTTCCAGTAAAAGTACCACTTTTTTAGTTAATATTATCATTCTTTTAATTAACATTACTACTTTTTCGGTTAAAATTACACTATTGAGGTAAGAGTATCATTTTTTTTATTAACATTACCATTTTTTTAGTTAAGAGTACCACTTTTTTTGTTAACATTACAACTTTTTTGGTTAACATTATCAATTTTTTTTTTTTGGTTAGAAATACCACTTTTTTGTTAAGAGTACCATTTTTTGGTTAAAAGTACCATTTTTTTTATCTGGACCGCTTATGTAGCGATTGGAGTTTTAGTATCAATCTTTGTAGCAAACGAATCTCGATCGCTCAACCAGCGATGGACCGCTTATGTAGCAATTGGAGTTTTAGTATCAATCTTTGTAGCAAACGAATCTCGATCGCTCAACCAGCGATCAAGTTGCGATAATGTTTTAAATAAATTACACTTACCCCTAAATTATCACCCTTTTTTTAATTTTTTCCCCATATTTTTCATATTACACCCTTAACTATGTAATTAGTTTCATATTACTCCAAATTTTTTTACCTATTTTAATTTAACACAAAAAGTGTACCCAAATATGATAACTTTGTTGTAATTTCTTTAGTGGTGAAAAATTTTGTTGTAATAATTTTAACTTAACCCAAAAGTATTTAATTAACATGTAATTAACACATTCAATTCATCAAATTAACATTAAAATTCAACTTAATTAATATTAAATTCATCCAATTTATTCCAAAATCGTCCAATTAACATCCAATAAAAATTTAATTTATCAAATCAACACTAAACAATATTATTTTTCATCCAAAGTATTTAATTAACATGTAATTAACAAATTAATATTAAATTAACATTCTAAATCAAACAATAAAGATTCAATTTAACAAATTAACACCAAAGTAACATATAATTCCATCTAATTAATATTCAATTCATCAATTTAACATCAAATTAAAAATCAATTTTCATCCAATTAACATTTAATTTTACATAATAAACATTTAGCTCATTAAATTAACAATTAAATTCAACAAGTTAACAATAAATTACTCAAATTAACATAAAATTAATATTGAATTCATCTAATTTGCATTCAACTTTATTCAATTAACACTAAATTAATCAAATTAACATCCAAAATTATTTAAAAAATATTCAATTTATCAAATTAACATGTAATTTCATCCAATTAAAATTAATTTATCAAATTAACCCCAAATTAACATTTAATTCATCAAATTAACACCAAATTAACAATCAATTTCATTTGATTAACATTAAAAAATTTTAATAAGCATTTAATTCATTAAATTAACATTCAAATTCAACTAGTTAACATTAAATTAATTAAATAAACTTTCAATTTCATTCAATTAACATTCAATTCATAAAATTAATATTCAATTTCATCAAATTAACATGTAATTTCATCAAATTAACATGTAATTTCATCAAATCAACCCCAAATTTTTATGTAATTTTATCCAATTAAAATGTAATTTATCAAATTAACACCAAATAACATTCAATTCATCAAATTAACATCAAATTAACAATCAATTTCATCCAATTAACATTCATTTTTTTCTAATAAGCACTTAATTTATTAAATTAACATTTATATTCAATTAGTTAACATTAAATTAATAAAATAAACTTTCAATTTCGTTCAATTGACACTAAATTCATCAAATTAACATTCAAATTATCAAATTAACATTCAGATTTATTAAATTGACATTCAATTTTATCAAATTAACATGTAATTTCATCAAATCAACACCAAATTAACTTATAATTTTATCCAATTAAAATTTAATTTATCAAATTAACACCAAATTAACATTCAATTCATCAAATTAACACCAAATTCATCAAATTAATTTAACGTTAACTAGTTGAATTTGAATGTTAATTTAGTGAAGTAAATGTTTATTAGAAAAAATTAAATGTTAATTAAATGAAATTTACTGTTAATTTGGTGTTAATTTTATGAATTGAATGTTAATTTGGTATTAATTTGATAAACTAAATTTTAATTCGATGAAATTCCATGTTAATTTGGTGTTGATTTGATAAATTGAATATTTTTAAATAATTTTGGATGTTAATTTGATTAATTTAGTGTTAATTGGATTAATTTGAATGCAAATTAGATGAATTCAATATTAATTTGATGTTAATTTCAGTAATTTATTGTTAACTTGTTGAATTTAATTGTTTATTTAATGAACTAAATGTTTATTAGCTAAAATTGAATGTTAATTTGGTGTTAAATTGATGAATTGAATATTAATTAGATGAAAATTGTATATTACTTTGGTATTAATTTGATCAATTTAATATTTATTGTTTGATTTGGAATGTTAATATAATATTAATTTGTTAATTACATGTTAATTAAATACTTTGGATGAAAAATAATAGTAATTTAGTGTTAATTAATTGCAAGTTGAATTTTAATGTTAATTTGATGAATTGAACGTGTTAATGTAATATTAATTTGTTAATTACATGTTAATTAAATACTTTTGATGAAAAATAATATTAATTTAGTGTTAATTTGATAAATTGAATCTTTATTGTTTGATTTGAAATGATAATATAATATTAATTTGTTAATTACATGTTAATTAAATACTTTGGATGAAAAATAATAGTAATTTTGTTTTAATTAATTACAAGTTGAATTTTAATGTTAATTTGATGAATTGAATGTGTTAAAGTAATATTAATTTGTTAATTACATGTTAATTAAATACTTTGGATGAAAAATAATATTAATTTAGTGTTGATTTGACAAATTGAATCTTTATTGTTTGATTTGAAATGTTAATATAATATTAATTTATTAATTACATGTTAATTAAATACTTTGGATGAAAAATAATAGTAATTTAGGGTTAATTAGTTACAAGTTGAATTTTAATGTTAATTTGATGAATTGAATGTGTTAACGTAATATTAATTTGTCAATTACATGTTAATTAAATATTTTGGATGAAAAATAATATTAATTTAGTGTTGATTTGATAAATTGAATCTTTATTTTTTGATTTGGAATGTTAATTTAATATTAATTTTTTAATTACATGGTAATTAAATACTTTGGATGAAAAATAATAGTAATTTAGTGTTAATTAATTACAAGTTGAATTTTAATGTTAATTTGATGTATTGAATGTGCTAATGTAATATTAATTTGTTAATTACATGTTAATTAAATACTTTGGATGAAAAATATTATTAATTTAGTATTGATTTGGTAAATTGAATTTTTATTGGATGTTAAATGAATGAATTGAATGTTAATTGGATATTTTAGAATAAATTGGATGAATTTAATATTAATTAAGTTGAATTCTAATGTTAATTTGATGAATTGAATATGTTAATGTAATATTAATTTTGTAATTATATGTTAATTAAATACTTTTGGGTTAAGTTAAAATTATTACAACAAAGTTTTTCACCACTAAATAAATTGCAACAAAGTTATTATATTTGGGTACATCTTTTGTGTTAAATTAAAATAGGTAAAAAAACTTGGGGTAATATGAAACTAATTACATAGTTGATGGTGTAATATGAAACATATGAGGAAAAAATTAAAAAAGAGTGATAATTTAGGGGTATAAGTGTAATTTATTTTGGACATGATTACTAGTTGAGCGTTCGAGATTCGTTTGCTACAAAGATCGCTATTGAAACCCCGATTGCTATGCAAGCGATCCAGACAAAAAAAATAGTACTTTTAACCAAAAAAGTGATATTTTTAATCAAAAAAATGATACTCTTAACCAAAAAAATTGTAATGTTAACAAAAAAAATGATACTCTTAACAAAAAAAATGATAATATTAACCAAAAAAATAGTACTTTTAACCAAAAAAAAAATTAGTAATATTAATCAAAAAAGTGGTACTCTTACCCAACAGTGTACTCTTAACAAAAAAAGTGTTAATCTTAATCAAAAGAATTGTAATATTAACCAAAAAAGTGATACTCTTAACCAAAAAAAGTGTAATGTTAACCAAAAAAATTTATTTATTTATTTTTAAATTTAAGCTTATTATAATCTCAACCTTAGTTTTAATAAATGATGATGATTTTATAATCTCTTCAAGGGCTTATAGGGATAAAAATAATTCTGCAACTTCATCTTCTTTTTTCTTCATCTTTTTCGTCGTTTGAGTTTTTTTTTTTTTTATGAATTTACTATAATCTCAATCTTAATTTTAATAAATAATGATGATTTCATAATCTCTTTAAGGGTTCATAGCGATAAAAATAATTTTGTAACTTCATGCTTTGATCTTTCTCCTTCTTCTTTCCTGTTTGAGTTTTTTTTTTGTTTTTTATTAAAAGACTACCACTTACTCTTAATTTTAATAAATGATGATAATTTTATAATCTCTTGAAGGGATAAGAACATTTTTACAACTCCATCTTCTTCTTCTTCTTTGTTTAAGTTTTTTTTTTTTATATAAATTTATAAGGCTAAGTGGTAGCCGGTAAAAAATTATAGAGTTGATTAACGGTAGAAGTTGCTCGTTATACTATTCATTTTTTTTTGGGTGCCATACCGAAAAGTAGACGTCAGTCTGGTAGATGACGACGATCTCAGTAGAGTCCCCAATCGAGCCCTTGAAATGAAGGAAAGGCGCAAAGATATCGGAACCCTACAGCCGGCGAATAACGCCACCGCAACGCTATCGAAGCCGTCGGAAGCTATGCCGGTTGAGCTACTGTCGTCATGGGGGAGAGGTGGCCCAAAGTGAAAAGCGGGCAACATCGGCGGCAGTGGCAATAGTTCAACATCCCAAACGATGTCGTTGAAGTGCCAAGCTCGTGAGAAGCCCCAGGCGGTGCCGTTCCCTTCGATCCACCACAACAGTCCGTGCACTAGAGCTCTTCAACTACCGAACAACAATTCTGTAGCATCTCCGTTGGATTCGGTGGTGGTGGTGAAGAGCGAGGCGGCGGATGCGGTGGCAAAATCGGTGGGCAGTGGAGGAGAGGCGGTGAAGTCAAAGGAGTTGAAAGGTGTAAAAGAAGACTTGGAGGCTTTGGAGGCGAAGATTGAAGCTGAATATGAAGCTACTAGATCGCGAGGTGCCAAATCACTGTGGTAAGCTTGAAATGTGGCTTATCAGAAACCCTAATTTTTATACATTTGGGTGAATTTTGGAGCTATGCGAATCAATAATTTAGAGAAAGTTTCTTAAGGTTTTGAATGGAATGAGAAGCTTAAGGCTTCGGATTTGAGCTACAGAACAATCTCTCTCAGTTGTTCTGATTCAACGATATAGAACACAATCACAGAAAGATATAGAACACACTCGCTCACTCAAACACTCTCTCTCTCTCTTTCTCTCTCACATTGGAGCTTTTCCTTCTTAAGATTCTGCGTGTGGGTGTGGGTGTGAAACTCCAAATATAGACGTGTAGTAAAAGAAGAAAATTAGGATTTTGGGGGTTTGTTTACCATTTGGCTTACAATTTGAGGTCTCTTTCTCTTTTTGGTTTTGTAGGTTGGTTTTCATGGAACAAAATTCATCTATTGGAAGAAAAATCTTTGCCTTCTTTCTTTAATGGAAGGTCGGAGAGTCGGACTCCTGCAATATAATTGGAGATATGAAATTGGATTATAAATAAGTTTCATGCAAATCCTGACACACAGATTGAGTTGAAAGATTTGTCTATCTGAGCTCTCTGTTGGAGATTTGGAAGCGAAGCAAGAGGTGATGGATTTTTTGGACTATTGGGGTTTGATCAATTATCACCCATTCCTGCAGACTGAGTCTGCTGTTGTGGTTGCTGCTGATGCTGACGGATTGGCAAAAACAGACTTTTTGGTTGAAAAATTGTATCGCTTTGAAACAGACCTGTCACATACGCCGGTAGTTCCTAGGACTAATGTAGCGACACAGACTGTGCCTTGGGGATTGTTTCCGGAGTCCGTTGTTGCTGAAGAATCAGTGAATTCTGAGGGACCGTCCATTGAGTACCATTGCAATTTTTGCTTAGCTGATAGATATTCATTAATTTTAGGTAGATTACTACAATAATGGAAGAAAATGATTTATTTTTTTATCATGAGTTTTATTTTGTTGTCCTGCATTGTAAATTGTGATGACAGTTTGCATTTTGATTAGTACGATGATATAATAGGAGTGGACAAGAGGTATTCAACTTGGAGAACGTAAGATCATATGTCATAGCTGCTCGCAATTTTTTGTAGTGCACTGTACAGTACAAGATACTTCAAAGTGGGGAGGAAGAAACATGGCAGCGTTTCCAAGTTTATCCACCCTCCAAACATATGCCTTCAACTTAGAAACTTGGTAATTGGTAGTGTTTGTAAATAGTTGTGTCTAAATAGAACTGTAGTGTGATGGTGAGTCCAACGTATAGGATATGATTATGGAATGTATATATTTATATCTATATCTATCTATTTATCTATTTTATACTACTTATAAATGTTAATATTTGTGAAAAACTTTTGATATTCTATTTCACCTTTAATTATTACCATAAAGTTAATTACACCCACATATTTTTTAGTCTTTATATTTATTTAACTTCCAAAATATTAGCTAGATAAATTTTATCTTTATGAGTTGGTAGATAAACTTGATCAAAGTACTAGTTATTTCTCGTGCCTGAAGGCACGGAGTAATAACAAAAATGGTCAATAATAAACATATTTGTATTTACACTTAAAATTAAATTACAAAGATAGATGAGAGAGAAATAATTTTAAGCACTAATTGTAGTTGGGGTGAGCGATGGTAGAGATTGTGAGCAGCAGTGGTGGTAATGGTGGTGATGGCGACGATAATGGTGGTGATGGTTGTTGTACAATAGGTGATGGTGGGGTGAGAACAATGGTGGGGGTGATAGGGTGACAACAACAGTGATGATGGTAGTGGTAGGGCGATAGGAATTGTGGTAGTAGTGATGGTGGAGGTGGGGCGACGAGTGTGGTGGTAGGGTGGTAATAGTGGTAGTGGTGAAGCTAAGGTGGTGGTGGTGGTGGTGGTGGTGGTGGTAGGGGGGGGGACAGTTGATATACTACTTTTTTTTAAAGTACTTATGAAAAATTATAAATTCTAGAAGTACTTTTAAAAAGTTATTTCAAACACACTCTTAAGAGCCTATTTTTCCTATTAAATTTGGGGTATTAATATTAGTCGTTTAATAAATTTTAAAAAAAATTAAAGAGATCTCATCCACGAAAAACAAAAGTTATTTTATTTATCTTTTAAAATTTGAATTGTATTATACTTTATTATATAAATTAGGTAGATAAACTTTATCTATATGACGTCATAGATAAACTTTCTCTAAATTCTTTCTGTTCTATTCAATTCTACAAACTCTACTATAATTCTAATACCACATATTGGTAATTTTTAAGTGATAAACACAATCATTCATGTAGGTCTATAATCAAACAATTGAACAAGCGTCTTAAAATCCTGAAAGATTTTCAAACTAGCTGCAAAAAAAGAACTGGAAGAGTTTTATCACAGAAGAAGGATGTCTGTGTTTAGTTAATTTCAGTGCGAAAGCTAAAAATTAAAGTAAATGTCAGTGTATCAATTACTATTACTATTATATCATATATTTGTTTTGAAGTATTTTGTATGGTTCTTTGCATGTTCAACTATTTTTGGTATTATGTTTCTAAATCATTTTTTGATTACTTTTTACATGAAAAAATATATATTTTTAATGGGTTGGAGTATTGTTGAACCAATATTGTGCAAACTAAGTTTTTACTGAATTGATAATTTATTAATTCCTATGTTTACGTTAATTTTTATGTTCTATGGTACTTAATTTAATGTCTAACAGTTTTCTAAGAGATTGGTGTGACAGGTCAAGTATTTGACATAATTGATGTTAGTTTATTAATTCTTATGTTTTAGTTTATTAAATTGGTGTCGTAGGTGGCATAATTAAGGTTAGTTTATGGATTTCTATGTTTTAATTTGTTAATTCCTATGTTTTAGTTTATTAATTCCTATGTTTACATTAAAATTTTTTATGTTGGTATTTCTTTGTTTTATTACAACAGAATAAAATATAAATTGTCATATGATTTGTAACTATCACATTCTTCTAATCTTGTTCTATATATTCTCAAATTGACAAAAAAGTTTGATAGCAATCCTAGGCCCATATGAAAACCAATTGAATACCAAGAAATACATGGAAGAACTAAAAGTATATAATCATGTCGAATATTCCAGTCGTTAGTACTTGATGTAGAAAAAATTATATTTTTAATGCTGGAATAAATAGTCTAAATACCCACTATAAGAAATTTCTGAAAAAACCGGTTGTTTGACAAAAATAAATGTCGCCGAGAGATGTATACCGGAGTTTTTCTCGATAAAAAATAAATGTTAACTTTTTGATTGGACTCTAATTATTGGATAAAATTTCTTGAGTTTAAACCACCAGTAAAGTGTCCCCAAAATTAACAAACGCGAGTAATTAATTGTCGACAAAACCTAACAAACACGAGTAATTAATTGCCGACAAAACCTAGATTTCTTGTAGAGTTGTAGTGATACTAGGACAGCCTTATTTGGGTCGACATAAATTTTGAAATTTTTAGAATTTGCAAATGTCAGAGAAAATAATATTTTCTTCATTCCTAAATATCTGTCGTATAAGGTTTTTGTACAGGGATTAAGGAAGCTATTAAATAACTCTAGAAACGGAGGGAATATATTATTATTCGAAGGCATACAAAGTTGTTGCGAAGTTGAACAACTTGAATCATTAAGAAAAATAGTTTTTTTTTTTCTAAAATATCCATCGCCTATAGTCGCTGGGGCATGATCCCCTGTTTGTAGCATAATATTGACGGAGTTTACAATGAGGTATGGTGACACAACTAAAATTTAGTACAAATTCGTATTCTCAAACGATGACCAATCTGAGACGATGATACAAAATTTGAAGGATATAATGATTAACTTGTTCTTTGGTCTTCAAGGAAAGCTGGTGTGAACACTTCTCAATGGTGAAGTTTGTGTACAATAGTACCGTCTCGGCCAGTAGTAGAATGATACCTTAGGAGGCCTTGTATGGAAGCATAACCCTTGTGTTGGACTAAACGAGGGATAATAATTTGTGTTGGAAAATTGGGCTTGAGCAGATTGAAAATAAAATATACTCAAGATTTTGATTGTCCCCACTCAAAGAATTTGTTAGAGGATTCTTGACAAATCACTTTTAGGATATAACAAAGTTTTTAAGTGAAGAGCTACAATTAGCAATATTAAAGAACATCCAAAGAAATTACTTTGAACAATTTTATTGCTCTCTCTGTGGTATTGATACTATAAGATTACAACTCCATTGCAACATAAGATTTAGGAATATTTGACGTCAGTGAATTTGTGAAAAAGTTGAATCTAAATTGTAGAGGTTGAAAAAGACCTTTTATTCTAAAAGAAGGAAAAAAAAAAGAAGAATCTTGCAAAGGTGAATTCATGAAGTTCATCTCATAAATCTGCCAAATGGCATATGTTTTTGGTGAACGAGTATCTATAGGTGTTTTTCTTTATCGTTTTCTTCTTCTTTTTTTTTTTAAAATTGAGTATATGTGGGTGTTGAACATCATCATATTTGCTTTGTGTTACTTCGTGTTATTGTAAAGTGAGTTCGTGTTAAAAAAAATTTTATTCACACTCTATTTGTTTATTCAATCGTGTCTAACGAGTCGTATCATATCAAGTTCGTGTCCTAAATTGTTTTCTTTGCAATTTTCTTAATTTTAATTAATTTCAGCAAAATTTTTCAATTTTTCATTGTTCATATTCTATTATAAGATTATAAATAAAAATTATATGTTCCAAAAATTTGTTATTCTAACTTTAAGAAAAAATATTTAAAAAAATAGTTAAATATAAGTACTTAATACCTTGTAATCAAATTTATTAAACTTAATTTTTCATTACTCATATTCTATTATCGGATTATAAATAAAAATTGTATATTCCAAAAATTCGTTATATTAACTATAAGAAAAAAGATTAAAAAATTGTTAAAGTTAGGTACAACACCAAAAAAAAATGTTAATGTTCTATGTATCAATTTTTAGATAAAATATAAAGAATGAGTCTTTTGAGTACGTGCATTAACTTACACTCAAACAACCCCAATCCTGTTTGATAAATTTTCTAAAAGGGCAATTGGAATTGATTTAAACTTTAATACTTTGTAATCAAATTTAATTTTTCATTACTCATATTCTATTATAGGATTACAAATTAAAATTGTAAGTTACAAAAATGCGTTATTTTAACTATAAGAATAAGAAAAAAGATTAAAAAAAATAGTTAAATTTAGGTACCATGGTTCAGAAACCACTTTATTAGCAACAAAAAAATAGGTAGTCTACCATTATAAAAATAAAAATAAAAAGTATCATCTATACTTCATAACTAAGGCTCTTATACTATCAATAAGCAACTGTTAAAAAAGTATGTTTGGGTTCAGGTTTCTCGATCAACTATGTCAATTTGTTTAAGAATGACGAACTCCATTTTTTATATCAAATTATATGT